GAAGGGCACCTTTATGTTAGTTAATAATGCTTTAATTGTTTTTATTTACAAGAATAGATCAGATATTATTATTCAGATGTTTAATAAGTACTTGGAGGTTATTTTGATTAATGAATAGTATTGAAATTTTGGCTTTGTTGAATACATGTGTGTTTGAGTATCCCCTGTATATAGATTGTGCATGGTATGATATTGAACAAGCACTACGTTGTGCATTTTTGGAATCTTGCAACGGAGCATTCTGTTGCAATCGATACGTTACCAATTTCTGTTGCAATTAATTTTTTTTCGTAACAAACATTAGCAATGGAGTTGCTGTTGCGCTTTTTCTGTGGCAATTTTTTTGCAACGGAACAAATGGTTGCAAACTTGTGATGCAAAGTATTGCAAGGGAACTACCGTTGCAAAATGTGGCAACGAAATGTTCGTTGCAATGCTTCTGTTGCAGCATTCCGATGCAATGCTCTGCAACGGAAATTCTGTTGCAGGAGTGCGTTTGCAACAAGGGTTTTTGCAACGGCTAAATTGCAACGGAAAAGCTATTGCAACAAGCATTAGCAACGGAATTATTGAAGAAATGCAACGAAACGTGCCGTTGCAATTACATCATATTCTTGTAGTGGTAGTTTATGGGTCCCGAGTGCCACGTCATCATCCAGTCATCGCCACGTCAGCAGGTCCAGTCATCAGTGGTCCCATCGCCACGTCAACAAGTCCAGTCATCGTGTGGGTCCCGTTGGTGATTTTTGGAGAGAAGTTGGTTCTGACTAATTTTGACATCTTGATTCCATTTTTGAGGTCAGTTTCTCAAATTTGGATTGTTTGGTATTGGTTGATTGCTGCTTGAGTGAAACTATGACTACCTTGAAGTTTGAAGTTCCGTTATTTGATGGAAGAGTGGACTTCATGTTGTGGCAATACACGATTCAAGACTATTTGGTCCAGCAAGGTCTTGAATTAGCATTACAAGATGAGAAGCCAAGTGATATGAAAGAATCAGAGTGGAGTACAATCAAGAAGAAGGCTGTCAGCACAATTGGGTTGGCACTGTCCCCACAAATTAAAGTGACAGTCCTGAAAGAGACATCATCAAAGAAGCTGTGGGAAACGTTGGAGAGCAAGTTTGCGTCGAAGACACTTACTAACCGGTTGATGATGAGGATGGACTTGTACTCACTGAAGATGGAAGAGGGAGGTAGCGTAACTGATCACATCAACAAGTTTAATGAGCTAGTATCAAGGCTGTTAAATGCAGCGGAGACTATCAAGGATGGAGAGCAAGGGCTGCTTCTACTGGCTTCACTGCCAAAATCCTTTAAGCCGTTTGTGCAGTCAATGATAGCAGGAAGGACTACACTGCGACTAGATGAGGTGACGACTGCCTTGAAGGAGAGTCAAAGGATGATGGGAGGTGAAGAGTCTTCCGAGAACAGTCATTTACTAGCTGCTGTGAGTGTTGAGAAAGGGAGAAAGAAGAAGAGTGACCAACTTGGGAGACGATCTCAGCTGAGAGACATGAGCACTGTTAGGTGCTATTACTGTGAAAAGTTGGGTCACACAAAGAACTGTTGTCCAGAACTCAAGGAGGATTTGCAGATCCTAAAGGGAAGAAGGGCAAATCAAAGGAAGCTTCTTCCGCAAATGTGATCACTTATGAAGATGATCTCTTCTGAAGATAAGAGTACTGCTGGACAGAAGATTCTGCAAGATGGGAGTATCGCTGCAGAAATCGCAAATGATGTAGGACTTTGAATTAAGGGGAGATTTGTTGAGTGTTACTTCAAAGTCCCACATCGGTGGGATAGGAAAATTGAGAAGAGATGGGAGCCTATAAATAGAGAGGGTGTATATAGACTTCCAACACACAACACAATCCTTCAATCTATATAATTGTGTATTAGATTTTAGGTTGTGAGTGTCAAATATTGGAGAGGGTTTGTAATTTTTTTGTGCAAAAATTACTAGTGAGATTTTATCTCAGAGGGGGTCGTGGAGTAGGTCTTGAGGTGCGGAACCACGTTAAATATTTTGTGTGCTCTTTTTCTTTCCTTTCCATTTGTTTGCAGTAGGGGCCTAACAATAATATTATATAATAATAACTCTAACTATAATAGGCAACAACCATAGTGATAAATTTATAATGTATAATATTAAATATATTAAATAATTGATATATTTAACAGATAACATTTTCAAAGCGCTGACGCTAATCTCTAGCGCTATTCCTAAACATGTCCGTCGCGGGTGTTTCTACGTTTAAGATGGATTGTAGTTTCTTTGTTGATTAATCTATTTGCTTTCGGTTGAGAAACAAAAAAAAAAGACCATTGTGCAAAAAAGAGGCTCTAGTAATGGAAACAAAATCTAGTGCGAGATCATGATAATCACGTTCCCATAATCAGTAATACTACAAATTACGGAGTAAATTGTAAAAGCTAGGCATCCATATTATTTTGAGGAAACGTCCCTAGAAGAATTACAAATAGTGCATCTAGCACTTTTTTGTTTTAATATTATATCATGGAACACTACTTTATTTTTTGTTCCTTTATATCCTTTTAGCTCGATAATAAAATTATATCTCCCCGTCTTAAAATGTTTAAAAGACATGGTTGAGTTTATGATGATAAACTGAATTTATTTTCAATATAATTCAATTTATTTTAAAATTAGTGTACGTATACATCAAAATAAAATTTATATATTTAAACTAAGATAAAGAATTCTATAAAACAATACTCCGTAATTAAGAAGCATCACTATATTATTTAATCAAATTATATATCGATAGAAAATATCACCGTAATAAGCCCCCTTTACTTCCTCCAAAGGTGAGTGTGTGAGAGCTAATCCAGATATTGTTTTCCTTAAGCGTCATCTTTGCGAATTCATGAGAAACACAATTCTGATCTGCTCTCTCATCATCACACGGATGACTTCTATTGACTTGCACTTTCCAGTTCTTGTGAAATAGCCACTTGCATTTTTCAATGATATCTCGAATACCTCCTCTGAGACCGCTATTTTGCACCTCTTGAATCTAGCCCACCACTTTTTCGAATTGTTGGAGATGCTAACATTTGTCAAATTTGACCAAGCCCATTTTCACCTTTAAGACTTAAGAATGACTTCTTTTGGGACAAAAAAAAACTTGGTTTTGTTGGCCTTTTACTTCTCATCACAATAATAGTATGTGTAATTTACATATATAAGAGTAAAAGACACCACTTTTCACACAAATTGAAGTTTTATATAGTATGTGTATGTGTAATATACATAAATTCTTGTATGAACTTAATCCATTTAAAAATATAAACTTTCTCACATAAGCAATAAGTTATTATTTGGTTATGCATTTTTTTAGTTTATTTATGTGAGAAGAAGGTTTGTGATGCACCTTAGGTCTATATATGTTAGAAGCACTCCTTTATGGCTTAAATTGTTCTTGCCAAATGCCCAACATAATTTAATGTATTTTTTGGTAAATTTGTAGCCAAAGTTTAACAACAAAAATTTACTATTTTTAAACATTCATTTGCTCGTTGCAGATTTGCAACAGATCTTTTTCCGTAGTAGATTTTCGTCGCAGAAATGGCAAATTCTTGTAGTAAATAAATAAACTGAGAAGATTCTTTTTTAGACAGAAAGAGTATTAAGTGTATATATATAATGAAGTACTTGATTAACAAATAAAAGGGATTATACCATGGGACATTCCCTTCCAAAAAGAGGTTGGAGCTGAGACTTGCTCATCAACACGTAAATATGACAAAAGAAGGACATATAAAGCTAATCCAATTGCTAACTGCAGCTAATATGACTCTAATCAATTAATATAACTCTAATCAATGAAGTAAAGTTATGGCCTTCATGTAATTAGGGGCCACGACAAAAGCCCCGGATAAGATCAAATACTTCCTCAAACAAAATTCTGGTTAAACTTTAAGAAGTTTAAGAAAAACAAGTAAAAAGTGAAAATTGTATGGATAAAATTGTTTATAAGAGTGAGAAATTAATATTATAGGAAAATTCCCATGTTTAAGATTAAAACTTAATTAAAATATAAATATAGGAGTAACCTAGTTCAATCCCATAACTTTGAATGCATTTAATGACAATCTCATGGAAAAGTGATGACAATGTAATACGGAGTATGATAGTGTAATCAGCCAGCCATAGATGGGCCACTGTATCGGTCGACTTCGGTGATCTGATTTGGTGACTGACATCGACTGATGGCACTATAACACTTAGACGACTATAGTAACGTGGTAGTGGTAGTGATAACTAATGTCACTAGTGTAAAATCCTATTTAATTTCTGTCTTAAAAGTCTAGCACTCTTATTATGTTGTTTTTATGCTTTTTTATTCTTATCAAGAGAATCTGCAATTTTAATTTCTGTACTCAGTATGAAAGATTTTGTTAGAGATATGATGTTTGGATATTGTTGCATCATTCTAGACATTTTCGTTTGCGATTTTGAAATCAGTTGGCATGTCATAAAATAAAAAGTAATGTCATAGGTGATAACACATCGAAATTTTAAGTTTTTTTATTCATTTTATTTAAAAATTGGTATAAAAATTAAAAATAAAACTAACATACAGAGTATTTAAAAATTATGTCAAAAATTTTTAAAAACAATAAGTGACAATAATATTTTATTTTATAAAATAATCAGTCAAAATATACAAATAAATAAAAGTTTCAGTGAAAATGTAATTTTTTTGGAAAGAAGGAAGTATTAAATATGAGAGTATTATCGTAATAAGGAGAATTTGCTATAACCCATAACATATACGGAGTAGATACTTTCTTCGTCTCGCAATTGACTATAATTTTTTAATTAAACTTTTTGATACTTTTTTTATTTTATTTGTGTGTTTTCCTTAATTATTTGATAAAATAAAATATTTTTATTCTCTTATTTTGTAAAAGTTTTGACATTTCTATATGTAAATTGTAGTTTTATTTTTGAGTTAATTTTAAAATAATACGTACCAAATTATACCTCATAATTCTAAAATTGTAATCAATTTTGAGGAGAATATTTTTCCATATTACTTTTAAAGAAAGATGAGTCTCATCCCCAAGGCCCCGCTTAGACCCAGCCGGACGGTCACTGAGAGAATGTAAATAGGAATATGATCTCAGGTTGGTGGCAAAGAGTGGAGTCTGCACCTGATACTTGGACTACTTGCAGAGACTCCTTGCTTAGCATAGTTACTTGAACTCGGGTCTTACCCCTTGACACTCTTTGTCTTGCCAATTGTGAAATACCTTACTTTCAAAAAAAAGGTAGAACGTCCACTCCGAGCACCCCTACACTCCAACCCGACAAGATTGTGAACACCCAACTTTCAAAAGGATGAACTCCATTCTCGAGAACCCTTGAAACCCATATCCAACTATCAAGTTTCAACATAATACTCGTATGGAGTATTTTCATGATGAACGTACTCATTGATTGGGCTGAACCCAAAGACTAAGTTAGAGGCTATTCTTGGTTTAGGTTCTACATGTAGACCGCTAGCACGAAATGTCCGGAATGTGGATGGAAACTCGATATGATATGAGTTGACTGTTGACATCTCCTATAAAAAAAAATTGAACTCTTATTCAATTCTTATTTTAAATATGGAGTGAGAGTAAATTGTATAAATGATCACTTATAATAGGTGATTTTCATATTTAATCATTGATCCCTAGATACAAAGTATGAGTATTACATTTGAGGTCCTTACTTTTGAAAATTATTCAAAACAGTTCTTTAGACATCATATATAGAAAAAAAAATTGGTCATATTTTTTAGCTCCGAGATGTTGGCTAATATTCTGACAAAACTAAATTTCATGCGGAATATTTATTAAAAGTTTTACTAGGCAAAAACTTCTGCTTGTTAAGAAAGATTTATTTAATTTAGATTCCTAGAATTGCCGTAACTTTTTAAGGTGACACAAAAGATGCTACAACACCATGTGACTGGACTAGCAAGGCATTTGCGAAAATCCAGTTCGCAATTTGCAAAATTAGAGTCAGAAACCTGTTAGAACTGTGACTACATTCTTACATTTAGTTACAATAAATACAACTGGTATGTAAGGGGCTTTAGGTTACTTGTGGATCAATACTAAAAAAAAAGTCATATTCAAGACAGCTCCTACTAATCTATTTCTACCAGGATTGGGTTTGGAGAGGCCTATATAAACGCATCAGATCCCTGAGAATTTCTTGGAGCGGTTGTGAGAAAAATGATGTAGAACACGCACTTATCTAGAGTATTCCTGTCGCGTCCCGAAGCTTCCCTTGTGTGAAGAAAGTTACGATCTACATGAAGAAGAGGATCTTCAACACCAAACTGATCATAAAATCCAGAAGATGAACCAGAGCTGAACAGGAGAGCTGCCAATTCAACCATGATTGTCCTTGTGATCTCGGTGGAGATGTGATAGCCAAAGCTGATTCGAACATGGTTCAAGCTAGAAATCCTAGATTAGAAGTTTTGTCATACTCCGTACTACTTAAAAAAAATCTACTCCGTAATTCACAAGGTTAATGCTCCGTGTAATGATATGGAAAATGATGCTTGTGTATATCCTATGCCCTAATGTATTGCTAACAATCTCATCTTTTTAAAACGATAAATTAATATAAAAATAAAATATATAAATTACACCG